CCAAAGCTTTGTTTCTCCTACGAAGGGAATTCCTTTAATGGCAAAATCCTATCTACATGGACCTGAAATAATCTCGATACTACACTGGCTCGTGGCTGGAATTTACCAAACTTTCACCCATGAGGTCGATATTTGGGGTTTAGGGCTGGCGAAGCAGCAGAGGCGATCAGGAGGATGGTGGATGAGAGGAAGTTGTTTATTTCGGGCCTGTTGTCAAAAACCTCTTTTCTGAGGGCCCGTTGATGATAGCGCATTGATCGGTGCGATCGGGTGGTAAGGCGATGCACAAAATCCGCTTAGAGCAAGAACAATGTCTGCCTGGTGTCATTTTTTACTGTTTCGTCCGACCTTGTCGTTCGTCGACTTGTATGTGGTGTTATGGTGGAATACTCAGTGACTTGCATGCCAAGTGTATAGGGCGTCTCTCTCCTTTTTCTTATCTGTCGAAAGGACTCTAACCATGGAGGACTTCCCTCTCGGGTTCAGTACCTTGTTTTCAGACAGAGAGAAATTGTGATAGGAAGAAGGCCCTTGCTATGGTCAAGTTGTCCGAGGGGATTTTCTAGTCTTCCTCCGTCTCGCCCTCTTTCTTCCTCCTGACCGAAAGGGCTTCGCCTGAATACGGTCTCTTTACCTTATCTGCCCATGATTTTGTCGGGGCAGGCCAACTTGATGTCTCCGCCTGAGACCGAGTTTGGGCCTACCTCTTCATTCCCACCCGTTCCTCTGACTGGCTTTGACCTTCCTTCGTCCCATCTTCCCGAACGATCTGCTTCTTGGCAAGCTCCTCCTGACCCTGGTTCGTGTGCAGGGGGTTCTCCTATCATTCTCTCCTCTGGCTGATGTCTCATTGCACCTTGAAACATGATCATGTTCTCCAACCTACCGCGAAGTCTTTTGCTGTTTGCTTTCTCCCTTGTCTGTTCCGTCTATGGCCATGATATGCTATACTTCCGGGTCTCCGGACCTTTGCGCCTACTCCGTTACCTCCTTCCTTTTGCTCTCCTCTCCCCTCCCCATCCCCACCACGTCCCCTCCCTTCTTCCCTCGTGCTCGCCCTCCTTCCTAGCTCCCTTTCTTACCAACCCGTCACCCTCGGTCTGCACGAGAGCACCCACCTTTTCCTCCACTCCACTATCCTACCTCACCCCCTCCTGTGCCGGGCCACTGCTACGTTTCCCTTCCCTCCTACCTCCTAGCCCCGGATCTCTTCTCCAGCTCTCCCTTTGTTTTCTCAAATTGCGGTCCCTTCTCCTGGTCTATAGCGCCCAAAATTTGTGGCCGAAGTGCATGTTGATTACCTTTGCCCGACAGCCCACTCAGGGAGCTTCGAGGTGGGACGGGCGGAAACACAGCTAAGAACGAGATACATATTATCGCTCAGCCACTGTCTAACAGCACACAGATGACCAAACTTCTTTGTACAACCAACAGAGCACACCAATCAACACCGGTGCCAACGTCCCTACCCGAACGCAAAAGAAGTCGGACTCCAAGCAGTTATCTGGTGTTCGATTCCGGCTATTACACTGACTCCGATCATTCACACAACAAACGCTAGTGTTCATATCCTGCAATTATTCCGCACTAACTGTGATTATTTGCACGCACAACACAACTTCGATTCCACTGTCCTTCCTCAAAAGACTACCCCCCTCGTGAGTAACCCAAGCAGTTAACCAGCGTGCAGTTCCAACAATTACATCACTACGACTGAGATCATTAGCACACAACCCCAGCATTCAGTTCGGACAATTACTCCACTCCAACTGGGATTATTTCCACACAAAACCTGAACCTGCCAACAACACCGAACAAGAGACGTCATTGGCCTTTCACATGTATTCCCGACTACAAATGCACAAGTACGCATTGTACAATTGATTGCTGCAAGCCGGGAGGTTATGGCACACTGGTTTCGACCCCACCACACGGTCATCCTCAGGGGGAAACTCCACCTCACCTCGGCCATATTCAGCCCTCCAGAAAAACTAAACAATCCCCAAAAAGTTGAAAAAAAAGGTACACTACAAACAGACAATCTTTTGGGAAAAAAGAAACAGGAACAACAGTTGCCCGAAGTACTCTCAAAGGTATGGTGGCGTGGGGAGGTGCGTGGGGACGCACAGTGGGGCGCGCCGAAGGGGTTTGATCGGCTCCTGGCTGTAGCTCATCTCGGTTGACATTATGTCAGGAATCCTGTCTAAGCCGCGGAAGGACAGTTGCTGAGTGGTGGGGACGGCTTGAAGGCGGGATCCGGACGTCGCCAAAACACCTTATGGAACCGACCGGGGGCTATTTTGCCCCTCGGTCTTCGATACGGAATGGCCGCTGGGTTATCTTGCTCCTGTTTTGGGAGTGACCTGCGGTACGTGCCTGCTCTGTTGGGGGCAACCTGCGGCAATTGCGAGGAACGGGTGGGGTTTTACGGGGATGATACGCTGGAGATGGAGGATGAAAGGGCATCGATAAAACGTCGTTTTCAGGGAGAGACAACGGATTTCTGCCGCGACCGGTATCGCCTACCGTCGACGACAACGGGCTTCAAGCTGCGAACGGGACTTTTCCTTGTTGTTGCCTTAAGCTGCGAACGGACGGGATTCTTCGCAGTTGTGGCTACCGCTCCTGCTTTGGGCGTGATGTCAATTTCTTTTTCCGAATCTTTGGTGAGAGAGAGAGAGAGAGAGAGAGAGAGAGAGAGAGAGAGAGAGAGAGAGAGAGAGAG